ACGTAATATTCAGCTGACTAATGGACTAAAACGGGATCCCAGTGCTGGGGTAGCTGCTGGCTGGCCGGCCTCCCACCCGCCACTGCTCCTGGGCACAGGTTAACTGGTATCCACTAAGCTAACCGATTACTCAGTCACATACTTAGTCTATATATCTCCTGTGAGGTATGTATTAAAATCCCCATGAAGGGAGATAAACTCAAGCATTCAGAGCTTACGTGACCTTGTATAAGGTCTCTCAGTGATTCGAGGTGAAGACTCTGGACTCCCTGCTCTCTCTGCATCAGCAGCATTAATCCTCAGGTTTCAGGGCACTAACTGACTGTCAGCGGAGGGCAGGAAGAAGTCTTTTCCCTGATACATAGTCTGGTAGTGCATTAGGAAATACAGGCCAGCATCATACAAAAGACAGCATGGGTCCATTTGGTTAGATGGACCATTGATCGATTCCAAGATGATCACTGGTGGGTACTTCTCTCATTAAAAGAAGCTTTTACCTAAGAACAGGGCCAGACTAATGCACAGGCAAACGCGGGACGTGCCACGAGCCCAAATTCATGAGGGAGGCTGGCTATGGTGCGTGGTGTTGTGCTGTTTTCATTTTAGGGGTGTTCTTTTCTTGATTGAGTTCGCCACAGCAGATTTACACCAGCAGAAAGAATTTCACTCAAATGGACAAGTGGTGTTGCGACCTGGTGCATGGAGTCATAGCGCCACTCAAGTTTGGGCAGCCGGGCCAAACAGAAGCAGCGTTGTGACCCCTGAGCACCAGCCCGCTCACTCAAGCGAATGAATTTCTTTCAGTGGGCACACACATCCACCTGCTCACATGCTGTTATTTAAATGGTGAGCCTCGTACTGAAGTAGAAGAGCGTTAACGTAATTTATTCTTCCTCTGCAATGACTCTTGATGCACCTCCCACAAACACCACAAGGACAAATTAATTACTGATGTAACTTCCCTGATAAGAATGGGTTACATCAGGGGGTATGTCTACACTACATGGCTGGCCCGGCTCAGCTGATCATCGGCACAGAGCACGAGTCAAGACGTGGATCGATTGACAGGGGAAGCCTTTGTCGACTGCTCCTGTAAACCTCGTTCCACGAGGCATAAGGGAGCAGTCGACAAAGGCTTCCCCTGTCGACTGATTCGCGTCTTGACTCGCGCGCTGTGCCGATGATCAGCCAGCACAGCATGGCAGCCATTTTTATTTTAATGAAGCCGGGGATATTTAAATCCCCGCTTCATTGACTATGTCAGGTAGCCTATTTTACATGCCTCTGCCGACAGAGGCATGTAGTCTAGACATACCCAGGGTGAATTTCTCCAATAAAGACAAATCTTAGAGTTACACCACTACACTTTTGGTGAAGAGAGGAAAAAGGGAGCTTATAGTATATATGGAGATATACCTATTCATAGAACTGGAAGGGACCTTGAGAGGTCATTGAGTCCAGTCCCTGCCCTCATGGCAGGACTGAGTACCGTCCCTGACAGATTTGCCCCAGATCCCTATACGGCCCCCTCAAGGATTGAACTCACAACTCTGGGGTTACCAGGCCAATACTCAAACCACTGAGCTATCTCTCCCCCCAATATTATATAATTACTACGGGGGCAAAAAAAAAATCACTATTGGATCAAGTTTATCCATAAAAAACGTAGGCAGTGATCTCTAGGTAAATATGAGTCTTTGGTGCAGCCAAACCATCAAGAAACTCTCTCTTTCTTCACTCAGTGTATTGATAACCCCTTTTAGTACAAGCTGATGAATTTACTCAAACCTCTCAAATCACTTCTGCCTTATAAATGATACTCCCATAAAACTGGGGCAGTCTCAAAACGTGTACTACACCACTGCATTATAACACAATGAGATAATCCTAATCAAGGCAGATGGAGAACAGATGGCCAGAGAAGCGACTCTCACCCTTCCAGCTCCACAGCCAACCACTTGAGTTGCATTTCCCAAAATGGGGCATAAAGGGATACCAGGCAGGTGGGCAGCCAGAACTCTCCGCTCCAGGACCCCTGGGCTACTTCTCCTCACTTTCCCCAGCACCTTCGTTTTCTCCGGTTCGGCCTCCTAGTGTCCACTTGTTGTCTCTTTCCTCCTACTCCCAGCGGTGCTTTCCTTCATCCTCTCAGCTGCACACGCCCACCACCAACTGTAGGCATGCTCCTTTGATAGCCAGTTTCAACTGGTTTTCCCTAATTAACCCCAGGTGTCCTAATCAGCCCAGGCTCACCTGACTCTGCAGGCCTGGTCAATTAGCCCCAGGTGTTCACAACTGCCCCGACTGCCTTTGCTGGTTCTAGACCAGCCCCTCCTTTTTACCCTGGGAACAGAGACCTCCTCAGTCTGAGTTTAAGGTACCTTCCCTCCTCTACTTTTTTGTACCCATCTGCTCTGACCCTGTCACAATATGCACAGGGCCATATGGCCCAATTAGCACAGGCAGAGCCTGGCCATTATCAGGGGAAACAGGAACACCTGTTTCCATCTAGCAATCCATCTAGGGGTAGGAATGGTGTTGCACAAGTCGAGTCGAGCACCGCCCCAATTAATTCTATTCTCTGAACTGGAATTAACATGGACTTTTTGTGGTTAATTAAGAGCCCCAAGGACTCACAGGTGTCTAGAAGGCCCACTATATTGCTTTGGATGTGGGACCTGGAGCTGCTCTTGAACAGCCAGTCATCAAGGGATGGGTAAATCTGGGCACTCCAGAAGAACTTAAACTTGTAAAGGGAAGCACTGTAAACTGGTAGTGATCGGGCCTCGCCATAAAATGGAGAAAATGTTTGTGACCTGGAAAGTTCGCCGTGTGAAGTACGTGCTCTTCAGGTTGAGGGCAGTATACCAGTCTCCCAGATCCAGAGCAGAATTGATGGAGGCTAAGGAGACCGTGCAAAACTTGAGCTTCCACAGGTGACTGTTAAGGCCCCTCAGGTCCAAGATGGGCCACAGGCCTCCCCTTGGCCTTCAGAGTTAGAAAAGTTACACCCCAGACATTAACAACTATAACTAACAAAAACAACTATCACTACAGAGAGAAACTATATACACTAAAGACAACTGCATTCACAACACAGGCAAACTGGCCAGAGCACAGCAATTCTGATGCGCCATCACTGCCGACAAGAAGGAACGGAGGGGGAGAGGAGTGTGCACAGCTCTTTATACCGCACCACGGAGGCACCACTCCAGGGCTGCCTAAGCTGCTCCCCCACAGATGCTGCAAGGGGAAAAGCTTTCCACACCAGTGCACATGGTGAGCACGCACACCTAATGTAGCGTGGACATGAGCAAGTACTCAAAGAAGAACCTAATATTAGAAAGATCTGCACAACCATTTCCCAAAGTGTGGGATATACCCCTCTCAGGAGGAGGAAGAAAAAGTTACCCAGAGGGGCGTGGACAATAAATACATTAAGAAATGATTTCACAGAGGAGATGGGACTGGCTTCATTTTCTTGACAGCATGTTCAAATTCCACCGGGCTGGGAAAACACCACACTTGCAAAGACTAGGAAACAAAAGTGGAATACACCATTCTATCTTCCACTATCTCTGTAAGAATCCCACATGTGCCAGAGGAAAAAACTATACCAATATGGCAAGAACAGAAGAGATGCGTCATCATCATATCTCCTCAGCCAGATTGAATGTGGCAAGAAAATTCCTGAACATGGATCCTCATTAATGCTGTCTTTAAAACAAGGAACGAGCTTTGAACACAGTATGCATTTGTTAAGTAGGAGCATGCGTCTTCCATCAGCTTTATTTTTGCACAGAGAGGACCATGTACTATACAGAAGCCACATCCGGACTCAGGTACACAGTTTAAACACTTCCTTAGTGGAAGCATCATCTCCATTGGGCTTTGAGAGAATAAGTACATTGTGAAGAATTCCCACTGGAAAGTCAGGAGATACAGCACAGATCTTGTTAACATCTGAACAGAGAATGTTTATGTTTCTCAATTCTCTGTTTACTTCCTTCATCTGCTATGATTATTCTCCACACCACAAACACGGAAGAATCTATGTGTTCTGGGACGTGATTTTCACAATACAGTCTCAGACCTCCTACTGAAGAATGTTTAGAGTTATCGTCCCACAAGCCAACCCTCTCCAGCTATTTATCTCCATTAGCATGAAGTATGATGTTCCCGCCAGCTTTCAGAAACCAAACTCAGTTTGAGACCTGCAGGGATGAACGACGAAACCAGATTCACTTGCAATGAGGAAACTGAGGCAAAGGCAGTTAGGATTTGAAGCAAATCTGCAAAATGCTCATATGCTAATCATGAACAGCATCTTGAGTTATGCCTCCTAAAGCAGGTTCTGTGGTGACCAGAGAAAAGTTGGAGAGCAGAGATGCAGTCCACCTAAGCAAATCAGAGTATGCAAGGACTAGGGAGTGATGCCCTCCAATGAAAAACCAGAGCTGAGATACAATTCATTGTAGTGAGAGGTGGGAAAGAAGATCTCCAATCTGGATTTCCCTGGAGAAGTTCTTCCTTTAATCTCTCTGATACACCCACCCCTCACACACTTCTTTTCTAGGTTGGGAAAGGAGAAACATATCATTACTGGTGTTATTACTTTTTGATACTGGGGAGGGCGGGAGAGGGGGGAAGAGACAATGAAATACTTCAGAGATGGCATAGGTCCCATAATCTTAGACAGACAAAAGAAGCAGAAAAAAATCCCACTTGGCCAAATTCTGGCATCAGGCATATACAGTAACTGCCATTTAGATCTAAATGTTATGTAGGCAATTAAGGCCAGAAATAGGACACTTGGCACGCATTGTCTGTCAGCTGCTAAGTCCATGCAGACTAATCCGTATTTGCAGGATGGGCACACTGTCATATCAACAACAGAAGCAAAAGGACAAATCCAAGAGTCAAAGAAGTCACCCAGAAAGCTGGTCATTTCAATACAGAGCTGGAATTTAAAACATACTCCTCCTCTTGCACATACTTACCCACTGTGTCACAGGGTTCATCTTTGTGTACGCAGAAATCCGTCCTAAAAAGAAGAAAAAAAAAGCACAAGTCAGGTGTATGCTGTGCTCCAGGAACAGATTACAGAAAAGCAGTGGTCTACGAGCCCAAGCACTGAAACATTCCCAGCTATTAGGGACATCAAGGTCCCTTAACTGCTGTGTAGGACACACAACAATAGCAAGTAACAGCCCTGACTTATTTCAAGAGTTATTTTGATAGTTCCACTCACTACACTCAAAATCCAACCTAGTCTTCTGAAGATCTGACATGGAAGAGAGAAAGGTCATCTTAGGAAGCAGGAAGCCACATGTTTCTAGTACATCAGAGCTTGTCAACAACCCTCAACTAAAATGGGGCCACTCACTTTCACACAGTACTGCACTTCAAAGGAGGTGTCGTCATGCAAGCCCGCAGCAAAGTCTAAAACTGGGGGAGGAGAAATCCAGGGGCAATGTACACAGGTATGTAGCACTGAGTCCTAGGGAACAAGCTGGGTCCGAATCAGGGGTTCTCAGTCTCTCTCTTACTGAGACCTCTCCAGCAGGCTGTGAAAACTTTATGGCCCATCTGTGCCACAAAAGTGGTTTCTGCATATAAAAGCCAGGGCCAGCGTCAGAGGGTCGGAAGCAGGGCAACTGCCCCATGCAAAACTGTGTTGTTCGGGTGTTGACTTCAGCCCTGGACTTTGGATCCACGTGGCAGGGCTTCTGCTTTCTGCCTTGGCCCCAGCAAGTCTAATGCTGGGCCTGCTTAAGGGCCTTCTGAAACCTGCTCACAAGGGTTTTTTTTATTGTGACTTGTGAATAAAAGCTGCTCTCTCAAATACTCCCCCTTTTAATCTATTTAATTCTTTTGGTCTGGAAACAGTTTTCTTGCTTCACCGTCACAGTAAGAAAAAAGAAAAAGCTAAAGAAAGAAGCAAGGGGCGGGGGGGCGGGGAGAGCACAGTAAAATATTCCGGACTAAAAAAAAAAAAAAAAATAAAACCCAGCCTGATTTTTCATCCAAGACTTGAAACAGACACTAGCAATTCGCCAGGGTCCAAAGAGTTCAACTAACTTGTTTTCCCACCTTCACGTCTCACCTGGGTTTTACAAGGATAGAAACCTAATCATTATTATTAGTCTGTACCACAGTAAAACCCAGAAGCCTCAATCAAAACGAAGACCTGATTGCACTAGATGTGATACAAACACGGAACAAAAAGATGGCCACTGCCCCAAACTGCTTACAATCTAAATAATATCCAAATAGCACAAAAATATTCCTTCAAGAAACTTTTCAGCTCAATTTCCAATATGGTATTTTTAAAAAAATAAAATAAGGTTTGCACCCTCATTTTAGTTGTGTCAGAGCACCTCCACGGTTATCTCCTCCCCTCTGGGAACTTTCCTCTTCAGCTCCTGCACGTGCAAAGAGTGCTAGCTATCCCAGAGCAGTGCCTTATAGTTGAGGCACCTAACAAATGTACCGCAGCTGATATAAGGAGCCAAGAGTCCCTTCAGTCTGGAGGAAGCAACAGCCCTGTCACAGATATGACTGCCTGTCCTAGCCAGGGTAAGTAGATGCAAAAGTTATTCGCGTGTATTGTGGGTGTCTGGTAATAAACCCACAGGTGGGGTAGTGTGTTTGGGGCTTTTGAGAAGGTAAAGAGAATGTCCTGCTGGAATAAAAATGTAAAAAGGGGATTTTTCAGAAAGAAATAATGGAGTTAGATCCTGAACTTCCAGGTCACTGAGACTTGGATCCATGCCACCACCAGTCTCCTTTGCTCAAATTGTTAAAAAAAATTCCCAGCTTAAGCTAGCAAATAAATAAATAAATAAATTGAAAATAATCCATATTAAACTGTCAACATTCATATTAAAAAAACCACCCTGCATATTTCCGAGCTTACATTTCCTGGCAAAAGAGCTATGACTACGACCATCAGTGGGTTAAAAATCAGGCAGAAAAAATAATAATCGGAAGCCATCACCATGGCCTGGCTGGGGATTTCATTTTTCAGAGCTGCACTGCTCTGTCTGACACCTTGACATTTGCTCTTGACCGAGCTGGCACAAGAACAATTCTTGAGTTCCCAGAGCCAGCCTGACAGAGGTTTATTTAAGGATTTATTATGTTATATAAACTGGTAAATCAAACAGATGCTTCTATTGTGTCAACAGATAGCTCAACTACTAGTAGATGGCATGGGGCCATCACTAGAAATGAATCTCTCCTATGGGACTGTCTATCATAGCAAATAATGCAGCGCAAGTCTTGCCACTTGTGCTCGCTGTAGTTCTTCCAGGAATGGTGCCGGGTGGTTTAAGTCAACTCGGAAAAATTGCCACAAAAATAACGGTCTTGTAAATAATTCAGCACAACTTACAGACTATGACCAACTTTATGGAGGTGAAAATCCCTCACCGCTAAGAGGGCTGGTCTCTTGTGGTCGTGGCGGTGCTCTTAAGTGAAGCAATGAAAGGAAATCTAACATTTCATCTGCAATGTGCAGCATGGCAGGTCATTCCCCAAACCCCAAAAACTATCCTTCTGCCACAGGACCTTTCATCCAACCATTCCGCATTAGGTCATACTTACCACTTGACTTTCATAATGAGAGCACATAACAATGGACATACTGATACTGGGTCAGGCCAATGGTCCATCTAGCCCAGTATTCCATCTTCTGACAGAGGCCAGTGCCAAGTGCTTCAGAGGGAATGGAAGGAACAGGGCAATTCCCTGTTGTCCTATCCCAGTATAGGGCAGTCAGATGCTTCATCCACAGCATGGAGTTGTATTCCTGACAATACCTCCAGGAACTTATCTAATTCTTTTTGGAACTCCGTCATCGTTTAGGATTCCACAGCATCTCCTGGCTGGCTGTGCGTAGCACGAAGAAGTACTTCTTTTTGGTTTGTTTTAAACCTGCTGCCTATTCCTTCCATCACGTGATCCCTTGTTCTGCCTTTCTTTGTAAGAAGCCACCCACCAATCCATTCGAGGGATTTTCCCCTCACTATTGAGTACAAATGGGAAAAACACCTATTTTCTGCGTCATCAGGCAAAGGTAAATTCCCAGAAGCAAACTGTTCATGGCTCCTTTTCGCAAACACAGCCAGCAGGCTGGAACCAAAGTTCTCTTTGGAGGTTGGAGGTTGACCCTAAAGAGTCTCAGTTCTCAAGCAGCTGCAGCTGCTGAAAATCCAACTTTTGCTTTTCTGGCTCAGCTATTTCTGCTGGACATGCTCTAGCTTCCATCTCCGCCGTGGCTGGTCCATCTGCACAGTCTGGGGAGGATCCAGGGACACACATGCATGCTTCTAATGCCAAGAGAAGAAACTTATTTCCCCTGCTATGTGAATCAGAACTGCTGGATCAGAGACCTTCCAAGCAACCTTCATGTTGCAGGAACAGGAATGGGTTCGAACTGCAGGAATGGGAAAACACTGAAGTTACATGCTGCTGGCCTACTGTGCTGGATGGATGTGGTTCTTCTGAGGAACACCAATGGTCCTGTGCCCAATTTTCCCCTCACACAATCAGCTGTTCTTCAAGCCTATTATTCAAACTAGAGGCAGCTGCAGCTTTCCAGCTATTATTACAGCAAAACCTTCCAAATTCATTTAGCCCAAAGAGCATCTTTACAGTTCTGACTCCAACTCGTTTAGCACGACACCAAGCATTTAATTTCATAAGCTGCAGAGACAGAGGGCTCAGACGAAATGCTCCACTTCTCCGCGCCAATGCTCAACTCCCATCAGAATGATTTGCATGCCTCACCGTGTCACACAGGATCAAAAGATTGGTCTTGGAAATTAGCACAACTGGATGCACAGATGAGAGTTTAAAATATCTTATGTATTTACTTAGGCCCTGATCCAATAAAGCACATGTTTAACTATAAGCAGGATGTGTATTACTCCCATTGACTTCAAAGGAACTACTCACCCTGCTTAAGAAGTTAAGTGTATACTTACGTGCTTTGCTGGATCCAGGCATGAATGACTGCACTGAATACAGAGCAGACAGGGGATCCTGCACCAGCTCCAGAGGAAACTGCACAATCATATAGAGGTTGAACCCTTCCAGAGTGGCACCCTGACTGGTGCTGAACCAGAGAATTTGCCGAACCATAGGAGATCAATACTGTCTAGCAGCATTACCAACACTTCCACTGCTTACTGGGCTCTTAGAAGACATTGAGGAGTAAATTAGAGCTAAACAAAGCTCGGAACACTGAGAGCCAAGCCTGGTGGCTGTAAACAAACTTTATGGGACTGCAGGAAACTTGGCCACACCCATGCTAAGTTGACATCGGCTCACTAAAATCATGCCGGACCACAGATGTTACCAGACAAGAGTGCAGGACTAGAGAGGGTCAACCTGTATAAAGACATATTTTGAGGAACTCTACTAGCCCACTGAACGGGCATAGCAATCACTGAGTGTATATTCTACAGCCCAGTTTTATTCAACAATCATTAGCATCCCCTGGTACTTTGAAATGATTACCATACTCAACTTGTCTCTAGAAACAATAGAAAGTGTTTTCAAGAGGGACTTAAAAATGCTCTAATTGCTGAAAACAAACTGTAGAATCCTGTTCATTTAAGGTACACCTACACAACATGCTTATTCCGGAAGATATATTCCAAAATAGCTTATTTCAAAATAGTGTCTACACTACAGGGAAGCCTCAAAATTAGTCCAAGCCAGACTACTCTAATGTGGACGCGCAATCTTGATTTAGATCTCCAGGAGACACTGGGGAGTAATTACTCAGAATGGCCCTGGGGAGGAGCTATTTCGAAACAGAAATAGTGCAGCATCCACACTACAGCTATTTCAACATAGCTATTTCTGAAGAGGAGTTATTCCCCATGGAATGAGGTTTACAGGAGTCGGAATAAGCCGTCCGTTATTATGAATTTATTTTGAAATAACGGAATTGCTGTGTGTAAGATCATAAGAACGACCATACTGGGTCAGGCCAAAGGTCCATCTAGCTCAGTACCCTGTCTGCCAACAGTGGCCAATACCAGATACCCCAGAGGGAGGGATTACAACAGTAATCCTCATGTGATCCCTCCCCTGTCATCCATTTCCAGACCAACAGAGGTTAGGGACACCATTCCTACCCATCCTGGCTAATAGCCATTGATGGACCTAACCTCCATGAAGCATCTAGACGCTCACATTGTTATTTTTAAATAACTGTGCTGTGTAGACACCCCTGTGACTGCTCTCTGACATGGACAGCAGCCCTATACATATGGTGCAACCCAGGTCAAAATACTCATTCCTCAGCTATGTTCAAACTGTGTAAGCAACTTTAAGGAGGAGAAAAATGATTTTTAAATGGCCCTTGTTAATAAATGAGAGACACCATTTACATAAACGTTTGGGAAACATGTGAAATAAATGCCTGTGCAGATAAGACTCTAGAACAATGATGTGCTCTGAAATTAATCTTTTGCAGTTGTGCTTTTAACTGTTAACTTGCTGTTCGAATTTAGATGACAGACCATTTAATCTCTTGGCACTCACCAAATGCATCCCTTTCAGGAGAAATTACTTACTTGATTTATTATCTGTCATTGTCTTGCACTGTCATTGGGCTAAATCAGTTCCATGAGAGATGTTGCTATATAATGGCCGCCTTTTCACATGGACTTTGGTGAAGTAGCTCTGCATAGATCTAGATCCATGATGTATAAAGATACAGGAAGATTTTCTCCAGGCAAATTCATTATGGTGCACTGAAAACGTTGGGAAACTGGGAAATCATTTCCCACAGAATATCGACGCTATTGTACATATACAGAACTGGAAGAGCCTCCGTTTTTTTGTCACAAATCTTTGCTTTCTATGGACATTCAAAATCCTTCTTCTCCCCGGATACTTTAATTTAATAATCACAGCTGCAATTTTTAAAGAATAGAAGAAGATGTGGAAACATTTTTTCTATTCATATTAGACAGAAAAAAGTACAAGGAGGGAGAATTAATCTAGATACAGCTGTAGATGGTCCCATCGGTCACTATGGGTAACATCCCGGGGGTTTGAACCTTATTCTGGCATGGCGTATTTGATCACTATAGTCACAAAAGGAAACTACTATCTATGCCATGTACCAACAGAGAAAGCAAGTTCTAATGGTGGATCAATGCGACGGTAAAGCAAGTAAATAAGTGCTAGTTCTACACACGTCACCTACAAACTGTCCCTTTCATTGTTGTTGGGTTATGTAGAGGAAGCAGGGATGAACATGAACTGTGTAAAACACTGGAAGAGGAGCGAGACCTTTCATTGGCACAGAGAATAATAATAAAAAAAAAAAATCGAGACAAATCACTGCAGTCCGCTTTGTCTTGTCCATACGTGACCCAGAAGCACTGAGACTACTGACAAGAGAGTGAAGTCTGCTCTACAGCCTTAACTGAGAGCTCATTTAGCTTTCAGCTCATGCAGGGGAGGCACACAGCTTTCATCCCGCAGGTTCAATTGTAACTGCCAATGACCTGGGTCTGTCGGCCTTACACATGCAACCCAGCATGCCCCGTGCTAGCATGAAAGAGGGACAAACATCAGCACAGTGGAAAACGGCTCCTGGAATCACTTGCGGATCAGAGGGGCCATACAAACAGGACCAGCAAACCAGTTCCCCTGTACCTGGTAACAAAGACAGCAGCATCCACTGTAGGGGTATCATCTCTTGCACCAGGAACCTGATTATTGCCAAGATACTTTGCTCCACCGTACTCTTCATTTTGCCAGTGACAGAAACTCTCCAGAGACCTCTCCCCATGGTGCCCAATGGACAGTTTTGCCTTTAGAAAACAAAAAGGAATTCAAAGACACAAAGATTGAGCACACAAGGGGACACACGTCTATGTAGCATACAATTATTAGGTGACAAACAACGCTCTCGCTAATCTTTTCCACCCATGTGTGGATTTTTACAGAAATACATTTTTGTGTGCACTGAGGCATGTGCGGGTGTGCACCACTAGTAGAAACAAAACCCAGCTGTGGGTGCTCTGCTAATCAATTGGGTGGCATTTGGATCTCTCCTGAGAGGCCGCACAGCTTACAGGGAACACTGGTGACAAATACGCAGTTCAAAATTATACTTGTGATTACACGTGCATCACCAGAGCTTTCAGCATCAAAGTACTAACGCCCTCAGCTAGTAACAGCAGCAATCTTCCTTAGGGGCATTAGGCCCAAAGGGTTCACAGAATTGAGAACCGTGTTTCTGATTCCCCAGCCTATCTGGTGATTGACGCTGTACAAACATTTTGAAGAACTTACAGGACGGTTTCGAAGGAGGACAAGCTTAGTCACTCGAATGCTGACTTTAATTCCGAGGCTCTGGTGTTGGAACATGTTGTACACCTGTCAAAATGTGACAACATGTTAGAATGTCAAAAAAGAAAAAAACAACTAGAAGAGATGAGAGGACGTATGACGACCAAAATTATGACCCCGCTAAATATAAAGAAAAAAGTTGGCTGAATCCAACACACACGATATTAAACACAAATATAGAATTCTCAAAAGGAACTCCTATGATGCCATTTTAACCCAAAGTATATGACATATAGCAGCAGCTGCAACTGTCAAATAAAATACATTTTCCTCTAATGCATATCATTAGGCTTTACCACTCTGAACAATTTTTCACACAACCCCTCCAGCAAGGTTTTCCAGCTAGGGCAGATTCACCCAATAAAACAAACAAGTCCTTGGGAAAAAAAACAGAACCAGAACCAATGTGGTTTAAGAAGGGTAACAAAGGGAAATGGTGGAGAATGGAGGAAGGGAAATATATTCCAAGAACATCAAAAAGAAACTAGAGACCTGAGAAACAAACACTTGTTAAAAAATGGTAGCTTAATTCAGACTTTCAAAATTTAAAATGTCTGTGCTATCTAAATGCAAAAATGAAATAATGGTGTGTTTTAGACTTCAGGAAATAGAATGAAAAGCAATTTCCCGGTGTTGTTTTCATATCTTATATAAGAAAATAATACTAAGTCAGCATATAATGACACAAGCCTCAGGAAATACAAAAATAGTGCCGGAAACTACCTTCCTGCTATCTCCACATTTCACTTTCTAGCTCAGAGAGTTCACCTCATTTACAGGTTAGAACACAGGGACTCTAATTGATCCCAGAATTACATTTCACCAGATTGCACAACTGCTCTGCCTAGACCACATCAGAAAAGGTGGAAGCGGGGAATTATATATTATAATGTATTTTAAACTATTTATAACTTTGGGACAAATGCCACGTGACCTATTCAAACAGAAAATCAAAACCATGGAAGAGATTTTTCTGACTAACAAGAAGAAGATCTGGCTCTGTTCGTTCCCCAATCTCATCTGGTTCTAAATGTTATTCAGGCTACAGACAGAACGGCAGACCAGATTTTTTCTTCTTCCTGCAAGGAACCCATGAGATGAACATATCTGGGGGGAAGATCACATTTTCAAACCCCTGAATTTTCCCTACTCATGAAAGCACTCAAGTGTGGACTTAATTTTACACACATTCTAAAGATGGTATTTAAGTCAAGTGGCTTTGAGCAAGGCCCAAACTGGGATCAAGCAGCTCCTCAGTACTAACCCACATTTAACCCTCTGACTTCCTGCATGATCTTCGTAAATTCACCTTCCTTTTCTATGGTCCCATTTACCCACGCGTACAATTGCTGGTCCTACTTACCTAACTTATAGAGGTGTCTAACAGTCTCTTAGGCCAGGTCCACATGAACACTTATTTCACAGAAAGCTGGGAAGTAAATCTACCCCACATGAGCCTGCTGCACACTAACTGGCCATAGGGACTGTGGTGCTCTGCGCTAATACTTCCCTAGTGCACTGTGATCTACTCCCATTTCAAAGCAAGCCGGGGCAATTTCCATGTGCAGCAGCAGGTCCACATGGAGACTCAGCGTTAAACTGGGTAGATTTATTCTCCAGCTTGACATGAAATAAGTGATACATTTTCAAACATTATTGGCTTGTATAAATGAAGACAGAGCATCATCGAATCATAGAACTGGAAGGGACCTCAAGAGGGCATCAAGTCCAGTCCCCTGCCCTCACGGCAGGACCAAGCACCATTCAGATCATCCTTAATTGATGTCTATCTAAAATATGGTTACTTACCTGGTAACTGTTGTTCTTCGAGAGGTGTTGATTATGTCCATTCCATCTAGGTGCACACACACGCTCATGCATGACTTCCAGAAGCTCTGTATCCTTAGCACCGGTGCTGGGACTGGTACCAGTCCTTGAGTCGGAACCATCGATGGAGTCAGGGGCACGGCAGCTGGTGCCAATGGGGAAGCCCTCCATGCCGTAGGCTTCGGTGCCGGCTGCCTCACTGTATGGGACCATTTGCAGCAGTCATCCCTATGTGGTGCTGGGCCCAACAAGGACATGAGCTCAATTATCTCATGGGCCATAGCAAACATGTCCAGGGTCAACGGTTCGGAGACCTCCTCGACTGACAGGTCCTGGACCTCCGGACTACTTGCCTGTACAGAGCCAGCTTTGCCTATGCAGCACGGGAGCAACATCGTGCCTGGGCAAGGACGGAGCTTTCGGGTGTTCCCCTGGCGGATGCACCCCATGCTCCCTTCTTGACGGAGATCTTCCTCTCCATGCTTTCTTGTACATTCTCGGCACTGGGAACTGACACAGTGCCACAGAGCAGCCTGACGCCACAGAGTGCCTCAGTGTGGCACCTGCCTCATGAACCAAAACTTGGGCGTCTCTCACAGGCGGCGCAGAGGCCGGTGCTACAGGCTGGAGAGCAGGCTCCATCAAGAGCCCTTTCAGCCTAGAATCGTGCTTTCTTTTGATCCTAGGCTTGAATGACCTGCAAATCTTGCAGCAGTCAGTGAAATGTCCCTCTCCAAGACACTTCAGGCACCCCTCTGGCTTGAAGCCATGAGGCCCCAGATTTCCCCCGCCCCTTCCAGGAAGTGCAAACACCTAAGTCTACACTGAAATTTCAATTAACTACCATCTATTTACAAATGAACGAACTATTTACAAGTAATTAAGGAGAAGAAAAGGTGCTAAGGGTGCACTTGCAAGATCTGCAAGCTAAGCCTTCCAGCAACCATCATGGGCAGCAAGGAGGAACTGAGGGGCCCACAGGGGTACAATCCAGGGGGCTCCTCGGCTGGCCCAACGGGTACTGCAAACAGCAAAAAGCTTCCAGAAGTCGTGCACACAGCACACGTGCACCTAGACAGAATGGACATAAGCAAGCACTCGAAGAAGAACCTGCTCTTAAATACCTCCATTGATGGAGTTTCCACAACCTCCCTAAGCAATTTATTCCAGTGATTAAACACCCTGATGGTTAGGAGCTTTTTCTTAATGCCAACCTAAACTGCCCTTGCTGCAATGTAAGCCCATTGCTTCTTGTCCTATCACCAGAGGCCTAGGAGAATAATTTTTCTCCCTCCTCCTTGTAACATCATTAAATAAACTAAGGGATAAAGCCAGTGCTCCATCCACAGAGGGCAAACTTATGTCCCAATCTGGCCAACTGGCTCAGAAAAGGTTCCCCCCAGACTTCTAGGAGGGGCTTTGAGGGCAGGGGATTTGCCTGCATGGAGCCTAGCAAACTGTTCTGGGATTCACCAAGATAATCTGCAGTCGTGACTCCCATTCACCTCCAAGAGGGTTTGATTTATTTTCCAGTCAGAAATTTCCAGTGTACCCAGAATTGGCGTGAACGGCCAATATGTGGCTCTCCACCTTGTGTGTCACAATCAGGACTGCCCTGAGCCCTTTTGGCGCCCTGGGCCCAGGAGCACGGCGCCGCCCCTGGGCGCAGGGTGCATGCGCAGGCCCACCTGTGGGGCGCGGGCCCGCCCCCCCTCCCCCGGGAGCGTGGGCCTGCCCCCTGGGGCACACGGCGCCTGCGCGGGCTGGGCACGGCCACCCG